TTTTTAATTATATGAATTTTTTTTTCCTTTTTGAAAAATTCACAAATTATGGGAAGCAGTATTAGTTTGTCTCCTTTGGTTCAGAATACAGGTTTTTGCTTCCCTTTCCATGGTGGCCCATCATGAGCGTCCATGAATGGTTGAGTTTGTGGTCAGCTCCCAAATGGCAACCTTAAGTAGGACTGTCTTCAGTGCCATCTGTCTTTCCACATGTGTTCTTCCTTGGCACACTATCAGAATGGAAAAATCATTGATACTAAATAGAGGGACAATACCTTCTATAAAATAGCAATTTATGCTAACTTTATCTAGAATTTGCATTTTAAGATTTTTATCTCTAATGGTAAAATGGAAGTTAATTCTTGCAAAGGATTCATCAAGGAACAAGAGGCTTCAAACCATGCTATATAGGTAGGTAGATGTTTAAGTGCCTAGAATGTGCCTGGTACTTTGCTAGATACTAGAGTAACAGGAGCAAAACAGTCTGTCTTTATGGAGTTGGCTAACAGCTGTCTTGTGGTCAACCATGATAGTAAATTTAAATTGAATCTTGGCCAGGTGTGGTGGTGCACAACTATTCACAGTGATTCAGGAGGCTGAGGCAGGAGGATTGCAGCCTCAGCAACTAATGAGACCCTCTTTCAAAATAAATAAAAAAGGCTAGGGATGTAGCTCAGTGGTGAAGTACCCCTGAGTTTCATTTCCAGTATTGGAAAAAAAACTATGCCTGGCATGTATACGAGGGAAATTGATGGGGTCAGCAGGACTAGGCATAATTAGTTCAAGAAAAAGTTCTTTCAAATCTCAGATTGCCAGAAGCTTGTTCATAGGGAATAGCTTGAGGCAGAAAAGTCATCCTTCTGTGACCTAGAGCCTGCCATATATTAGAATTGGCCAGTTCATCAGATTCAAAATCCCCCACATCCTAGTCCTCTGTGCCATCTTATACTCACATTGGGCCTCTGGTTGATTGTTCTTCAGTCTTTTGTGGTCTAGATAGATGCTTGTTCTTAATCTAGCAGACAATGGGGTATCTTTCTATAAAAATATGCCATCATCATAGTTCATTGTGAATATACTAGAAAGTTAGCAAACAAAAACACACACCTCCGCCACAATAACAAACCTCAAAATCATTCCTACTTCCACCTAGGGGGAAAATTGGTTAACATTTTAGGTTTTCTTGATTTCCTCTCAACTTGTTTTGAGAACCAAATTTCTCAATTGGTACAAAAACCTTTACTGTAATAAACCTAAGATATTTATAATTTATACAAATGTAAACATTTATATTTACCTCAACAAAAATGCAAAGACACATTTCACAAGATACAAAACCAGGAAACATTCATTGGACACACTACTATTCTGTAAGTGTCCATCATGAAGTGAACTGCAAGGAACTGACAGCAGGGAGGGCCTGATTCCCCCATGGTTTCCTGTCTAATGCAAGTTACTTTCAGAATATTGTTTCTCCCAGTGACAGTAGTTCAGGAACTGATGACCATTCCCTCAAGCTTTCCCACAGTCCACACACAGTAAAATAAGCCTGAACTTGACCAGTATGTGACCTTCTTGGGGTGGCGGTAGTGAGCACCTCTAGTGCAGAGAAGCCCAATGCAGAAGTGTCAATCAACAAGTCAAGTGCAAACAAAGAACTGATGAGATAGGTGTGTAGAAATCCTGACATGTGCAACAGCTGTGTGCCTGCATAACCTCCCCTCCCTGTTATTGTTTTTGTTTTGTTTTTTGGTTTGGATAAACTTTACTCCTTGTATTCTTTTTTTTTAAATTGTTGAAAACATTACAAAGCTCTTGACATATCATATTTCTTAACTAGCAACCTAGGGACCCCTATCCATGTACTGTCTACCTTGTGCTCAAGCACAAAACCCCAATAAAGCCTTGTTCAGATGGTATTACTTGCCTCTGCA